AAGATGCTGTTCCTTCCTTTATCCAATACATTTCTACCTGGACAGATTCCTATGTTGTCCCCCAGTCCCTTGACTCTTAAAGCGCTGATTTTGATGCCGTGTATGACTCTTGTCAATCGCGCTGCCCCTCCATGCCCTCCCCGTCACAACAGAAGTGCCACCAACTACTGGTATCGTATACCTGCCGTGAGACATCTCCGGCAGGTAACCCGTGATCTCCACTCTGCCATACGGAGGTCTCGCTCTCCAGAGAACTGGGAAGACTCCAAAAACTGGTGGTCCTTTGCAGCTCAGGAGCGTCATCGGATTCGTGAGGCGGACTGGCTATCCTTCACGGGGTCTCTATCATTCCAGTCGTCACCCTCTTATGTATGGAATTGAATTAATGCTATACGGGGTACTCGACGGAGGCCTCCTCCCCACCCTGACCCCACCTCCCTTGCCTGCTCTTTAATGGAGGACTGGGCACGAGCTTCCTCCCCTGAGGCACTTCTAGATCTGATGCAGGAGACAGTGCAGGCTCGCATCGATGTGTCTGAGCCTGTTGTTCGTGCTGCTCTTACCTCCCCTGCCCCCACTGATCATCCCATCACACAGTTCAAGCTTGACGGAACTCATCGCTCTAGGAAACACACCTCTCCTGGGGATGATCAGATAACCTACTCCATCCTCAACGCCTGTACTAATATTCCTAACAGCCCCTTGCTCGCTCTCTACAATATGTCTCATGAACATAGGGTTCTCCTGTCTAACTGGAAAAATGCCACTATTATCCCCATCCCTAAGCCGGGAGATCCTGGAAAATACCGACCCATTAGTCTTACCTCCTGTGTTTGCAAGATGATGGAGAGGATACTCCATCGTCGCCTTCTTCACACCATAGGCGGCTTCCACAACTCCCTCAATGGTTTCATACAACATTGCAGCACAGCACACTCCATTGCTTCCTTTTATTGCAATCAGACTGCCCGCGTCTCAACCTTCCTTGATATCAAGGGAGCCTTTGATACGGCTCAGCTTTCCCTCATTTTAGCTGAACTTGCGCGGTTAGGGGTTAAAGGAAGACTTCTTCAATGGATCGCCTCTTACCTCACTGGACGTCAGGCCCGGGTTCGCGTTGAAGGCTCTATGTCTCCTGTTCAAGAAATGAACCTCGGCACCCCTTAAGGTGGAGTCCTGAATCCCACCTTGTTTAACACTCTCATGCACTCCATTGCATCTCTCCAGTGGCCGACAGAAGTTGTCCACTCAGGATATGCCGACGATGTCCTCCTCCAAGCCACTAACTACCTCAGCATGCAGAAAGCCCTTGATCTGGTCTCCAGAGTGTGATTCACTTGGTTTCCTTCTTTCAACTGCAAAAACAAAAGCCATGTGGCACGGTCGTGTTGTACCTCCCCCCTTCTCTTATCAGGAACGCCCTTGAACTGGGTTAATGAGACCTGGGTGTGTATGTAACTCGCACGTTGTCAGATCACTGAAGTCCGCTATCTTCGAGGCATATGTTTTCGGCGTCTCGCTCCCCTCTCTACCATGCCCAGGGGTTCCCTTGGTGCCACCATCCCTATACTCCTCACCATGTACAAGTCCTTTGTCCGTTCCTGTGTCGACTACGCCGCCCCTGCCCTCGTCAACATCAGTCGGACTGCTGTCAACCGTCTCGAAGTTATCCAGAGGAATGCTGCTCGTAACATCCTTGGGGCTTCTCAGTGGACACTAGGGTGTGACAGTTGCCCCAACTTTGTCCTACAATGCTATTCAAAATTTTGGTGTTGCATATTGACATAAAAAATACCCACGTGCAATTTTTTAAGATTCGTGCATATTTGAGTGAGCACCAGCAATTTGAAAAATAGCAATTTTGTTTATACGGCATGCGCGCCTATATATGAGATTACACAACCATCATAAGGGATATTAGCACAAATCATTTGCCTGTCTAAATTAAAAGCTGTTATCACTTACACAAAAAAGTTAATCATTCTTATTCTCTCATGGTACATTAAGAGGTTTTATCATATATTCACAAGGTATCATTTCTCTAGAGCAAGAAACCATGATTTCTGTTCGGAAACAGATGATCGTTTGCGCTGATTAGAAACGCGGAGTCTGTCATTTTCAACTACTTGAAGGACTTCTTAAAAGCGCTCCTCATCCCTGACAACATTAAGAAAGTCATGGCAAAGTTTTACACCACGCTCTGCAGCCTCATTGACGACCTGAAGCTTGTCCACAACCCGTTTCATGTTCAGGTAGTCGTCATGATCCGCCCATTCACTGGCTGGACTGTGGAGAAACTGATAGGGCATGCCTAAAATGGTGAAGAACCAGCTTGAGTCAGGCCCAATTAGGTCCACCAGGGCAGTGCCACTTTCTGGGACAGGGGGAAGATATGGCTTTCCATAGCCCCCATGATTGAACCCCACTCTCTTAGTAACTTCAGTGCCTTCATGGCAAAGAAGGGCCTTCCTCATCTCCTCTTTTGTCCTTTCTTGTACTTGGGACGAGAACAAAGCCAGTGGGGCCAACTCCTCAGTTAGGTACCAAGTGTGTCTACCGAGTGCCACACGTGCTTTGTCAACTATTGTGGCGTCATATGGGGCAAATTCAGCCAAGGTTTCAACCAAATTCAAGTCATTCAGTGGCACACTTGCTGGAACGGGGCAAACAATCCACCATGGGACATAAACAGCGACTGTGAACACAGCAAACCGTTCTAACTTGCTGATTTGACTTTTAGTCACAACCTCGGCTTTGGGAAACTCTTTGATCTGGCCTGACAAAAGAACAATCTTGAGGGTATAGAGCAGTTTAGCCATCCACCTTGTTTCGTGAAGTGCGCCGGGGTAGACCATCGTGAAGTTCACTGGCTCAGATCCTTTAGTTACAAGCAGCAGACAAAGCTCTACCAGCTCCTTGTAGTCGCCACGTGTAAATGGTTGGGCTAGAGATTCACGGAAGAAGTCAGCCATCTCCTGCTGGCGCTCCTCAAACACTCCAGGCATTGCGGGGTAGTAGTATTTCTTTTTTTCATTGTATGCCAGTTGAGAGAAATGGGTCTTGACCCTAGAAATGCAATTATTGGGATTATTGTATTTCGTACTCACTCATCTGAGCCCTTCAGGAACATGACTTCCTGCCTGATATTGATGTCACCCCTGCTGTTGGTTCATCTCCTTCTCCCTGGCTGGATTTTCAACCTGAAGTGATTGCCCTTGGTGGATCGCTCCCGAAATCCCATGTGAACCCTGTTATTCTCTGCAAATACCACCTCTCCAGGATCGCCCACTGGTCCCCAGGTAGGATCGTCCTCTACACTGATGGCTCTGTTGACCCCGCTACAGGTAGGGCCGGGGCTGGTGTCTACATCTCCCATCCTGATGCCCCTGAGCCTATCAAACTGTCTCTGACGGGGCATCCTCCACTCAGGCTGAACTGATAGCCCTCCTTGCTGCCCTTCTCGCTGAGGAAGAAGCCGATGGTTTCTGCCTTGCTTGTCTGCTGCGATTCCAGGTCTGCTCTCAATGGGATCTCATTTGGATCAGGGGAAAATAAGGACCTCATCCTTTGAATACGGGGGTTAACATCCACACTTCAGGATGCAGGCCATCCTGTGACATTCCTATGGATACCCAGTCGGTATCTTGGGGAATGAGGCAGCAGATGGCCTTGCCAAGACTGGCTACAACAAGGCCACACCTGACTACGTTGTTCCTCGAACACTTTTACAACTTAGGACCCAAATTCGCTGCAAACAGAGAGAAGCTCGGGAAGCAGCCATCCCCCTGGACTCCCCGCCCACCTGGTACGATGTCCTCTGTAAATTTCCTGACCTCTCGTATGTCTATGGGAAAGGGTCGCAGAAAAGGGACGTGATTGCTGCCCATATCATCATTGGGTATGACTTTGCTTGGGAGATTGGTATCCTAGCATCCCCTGAGCAACGCTCTTGTGCATTATGCAGAAGACCCGACAGCCGCACCCTTGTCCACTACCTCCTAAGATGTCCCCACACACAACGCTTCCGTGACGCCTGCTGGACCACCACTCCAAGACCCCCTGATGAAGACACGGTGCTCCTCCCCATACTGGCCAGATATTATGTAAATAATATTGATGATGTTAAAGGAATATCCTTCATTCCTTCCTTAAACTTTAGTAAGCCCATTTATAATATTTATATATACTTGTGACACTTGCCAGATGCTTTTGGTGTTATTGTACAGGGGTACCTAGTGATAGCACTAGGATCCCACTTCCTCCATCAAGGAATAAATATTGAAATTGAACTGCCAAATCTGTAGTTACTTACATACAGTACGCCCGGATAATTAGCGGATTTTTATTTTGCCATTTATTCTAAAGACAGTAATTTCCTTTACCTGTATTGTATACGAGTATATGTATGTGTGTGTTTGTAGACACACTCACACCCACAAAAAACATACAAATAAATAATAATTGGAAAATCCTCTCACAAATAATCAGAAACAAATTTATTAAAAATGTTAGTCTACCCTCAAATCCGTGCTCTATTAATAAAGTAGTGTAATGGAGCACGGACTTGAGGGTAGACTGTAACATATTTACAATACAGGTAAAGGAAATTACTGTCTCTAAAACGAATGGCTCCCTGTCCCAGCCGCAAAAAAGCAGACATTAAAATTACCCACAGACATTCTTGGGTACATCCAGGGTGTCATCCGCGAATAATCGAGAACCTCGAAGTAAAAATCTGCGAACTTGGGGGGGGGGCTGTACATTTCTTTGTACACAAGTAAAAATGTACCCCGGGTCCACAAATGTTATTCGCGGTCATTTTGAGAATCTGACCCCAGCGAATTTGGGGGGGCCCCTGTACATACTGTACATATACAGTACAGGGTATACTGTATATTGTTTTGACACAATAATTGCCCCACCAAATACACTACTATACAGGACAAGCAAACCCTGCTCACCTTATTTGGAATTAACAATTACAGGTAGTGCTGACTTACCTTCCCTTCTACTCTGCTGACAGGACATTTTCACCAGAAGGAAAAAGGTTGAAGCCATGAATGATACACAAACCACAGACAGCACCGCAATAATCCAAAGTAACTTCTCTTTATTACATCTGAAAAAGAAAAAAAAATCATATTAGCTACTTCATATTAGTACACTAATACTGTACATAAAGAATGGCAAAAAAGGTGAAGGGATAAAATTTTAAAGGCTAGAGAATAATCTGTACAAACCCTTTACAAAATCACCTGTGAGCAAAGCTTCTAAACAAACTAAGTTTACATAATTCAGAAAATAATAAATACGTTAGAAAACCCTGGCTAGATAATTTTTACGGCCTTTACAAATGATATTGAAAAACACTCATTTCCATAAGGATGAGAAAATGAAATTTTGTATTTTCCATTACCTATAGTGTGCTTGCATACCCTGAAAAAATGAGAACATCTATGGCCAAAAAACATTCCAAACATAGAAGACAGACACACAAATACTACTTAATTGATACTACATTTTCTTGCTTATGCTGCTCCCCAAAAAGATACATTTACTCTATCTTTTAAGATCCCAGAGCTAGCATTAACCATCACTTATTTATCTAAAAGAATATCTAAGACTTTACACAATATCATGGACTAAAGTTACTTTTACTTACATTTCTGCATTGACCTTCAGCTTGTTTGTGTGTATAGAGGTGGGGGCCCTGAGTGGAACTTCAGTTTCTGGTTCAACTTCTCCTAATTTTGGTTCATTCTTTATAACATGGTGATCTATTACTATTTCTACATTATTCTCTGCAGAGCTCATGGAAGTCACTGTAGAATCTGTGCTGTATCCACCATCATCATTGGTTCTCTCTGCAGGTGATTCCACATCTACAGAATCTGTGCTGTATCCACCATCATCATTGGTTCTCTCTACAGGTGATTCCACATCTACAGAATCTGTGCTGTATCCACCATCATCATTGGTTCTCTCTACAGGTGATTCCACATCTACAGAATCTGAGCTATGCCCATCATCATTGGTTCTCTCTACAGGTGATTCCACATCTACAGAATCTGTGCTGTGTCCACCATCATCATTGGTTCTCTCTACAGGTGATTCCACATCTAAAGGTTCAGGGGATAATTTTTCAGTTCCAGGCCCCTGGAATCTTAATTTATCAATTTGCTTCTCGTAATTTATCTTGCTTGTATCTGTACATAAATCCGTGGTAGATTCTTCAGTGAGGTCATTTAACAGTGCAAGACCATAAACACCATGACGCTTATTGCTTTCGACACCAACAGCAGGGGTATGGACAAGCTTCACAACATCCTTGGGGTCAATAAGTGATGCCCGCATAATACCCTGCTGGCTCCAATCTGCCCAATATATATACTCGTCACCAATTGCTACAGAATATGGGAAACAATTTTCAAAGTTGAAAAGCTCCTGAGGTTCCTTTACCCCATTGGCTAGGCTGACAAAGTGGCATTGGCTTTTATCATCAAATTTGTCTCCAACGGTCTCTGCCCAAACAAGTTTTCTCCGTCTGATGTCGTAGGTTAGGCCCTAAAATACAAATAAGAAATTGTATTGTTCATCATAGTTTATTTTGTTGGTATTGGTTTCAATGAGAGCCATAGAACCAAATCCTATTGCTAATTCCCAATAACAATACAGTAATAATAATCTTGAGGAAACTTAGTTATTTCACAGCAGTTTTTGCTTAAGTAGACAAACTGACATTTTATTCTAACCTTTAAATGCAAATCAACCACAGATCTGGCAATATACTAGTTACACATGTTATAGCTTCTCTCTCCCAGCTGCCATCTATCTTTTAGTCCTTTTCAATCCTATTATTGGGTTGTAGACATATAAGATAATCACACATGAGGAGTACAGTGTCATCATGGGAGCAGCAAGGTGTGTTGTTGGCAAAGCCTTCTCTAGTGATGATTATTACCCTTCCAACAGCAGGCAGGTTTAGTGGTAAGTAACTAGCCTAATTTAATATTTCTCCCACAAAACATAAATTTTACAAAAAATATATAAGTAAATATGTACCTGTAAATAAATAAATAAATAAAATAACTATAATAATAATAGTAATACCCAGATGTGAACTGGAGTCTGAATTTAAGTGTTTTTTGTGATGTAACCTGAAGTCAGAGTCGGGTTTGTCAGTGTTGCTCACACTTCCTGAAAGTGATGATGGTTAGCAGATAAAGTCTCACCTAAACTAACAACCAACATCACCAACCATACTGTTCCACCATCCCTCTTCACCTAAACCAACAACCATTTTCATATCTCACCATCTGCACCATCAACAGTCACCTACATTACCAACCATCAGCAGCAACAACCCCCCCCCGGCAGCATTTTCTTATTTTTAACCTAACTGCCTGGGAAGATATTGGAAGCATAATGTATTGTCTAATGGTAGACCCTGCTGCCATATGGCATCACAAAAATTGTGACCAAGTCCCAGGAAGCTCATCTGACTTTCTGCCTCATTTACACACAATTGCAGGGTCTCAATTGTTTCTCTTACTATTTATCAGTCCTTAAGTGACTAAGCTTCTCTCTTATAATATGCCAGTGGAGTGACCTGGGAGAATATAATTTACATTGCTGGGATTCTTGTAAGATAGTGATTAATTTAAATATAAACAAGCTATAATTTGCAGTACATAAAAATTTTAGTACTGTAATCATTTAGTACATGTACAGTACAGGTTTGCACTTTAGGTCATTTATTTCTTTTAGTATGGTGTGTGCATGTAAATGAATGAAAATAAATGAAGATATTTATGTAAATCTACCCAAAAATACAGTTGAAAAACTTTACATTACTAAAATGTACTAAACTAATGTATTGTACTAAAACTTTTATCTCCTGTGCAAAATATATGATGTTTATATTCAAATTATTCACTGTCATGCAAGGATTCCAGCAATGCACATTATATTCTCCTAACTTTAGTCTGTGATATTATATAAGATAAAAACTTAAAGCCTATTGTACAACCACCAAACCCTTGCTGGGAGTGGGGAGAAAGAGGGCAAATTGACCGTAAGTCAAAAATGCGAAGGTAATACATAGAAAATCTAAAATGGGGGTCTCTTTTTCTTCTCAGCACCACAAAACTCTCACTTTTAAGCTTGCCAGCCATTTTAAAGGGAATTACAAACAAAAAATTTGTCAGTACACAGCGCAACCACTAACGTCGGAACTCGAAAATACGTAATTTGAAAAATTTTTGGTACTACTGGGGCGGTCGTATGTCCGGGTGATTGTAAGTCGAGGAGTAGCTGTATACAGTAAAGCCTCCGATAACAATGGTTCAACTAACGAAGATTCATATCTAAGACCCTAGTTAATTTAGGACCCAATTCAATTTACACCATTATTTTCTTTGTATTTACGTGTGAAATAAAATAAAATATATTACATTTCGTATAAATAACTAAATCCCGATAGTAAAAAAAAAAACACGCCTTGCACACGGAGGCTGCCGGGCTTGTTTGTGGTGACGCCAGCATCACTAGTATAAACAATCGCAGCTGGCAGGCCCTTTGTTTTCATGCATCTCAACAGGAAAAGGAGAAAAACTTTCTCGGGTTTCTTACAGCATTTTTGCATCCCTATTCAACATGAGCAAGTGATGGTAGTGTTGTTTCAAAAGCTAATAGAAACTAGATGTGTTAAAACGATATGAAAAGGGTGAGAGGTCTGTGGATATTATATGGAGCAAGCAATGAACATAATTTCTGAAGTGAATCCATTAACAGAACAATGAATTACAATTTAAGTAAATGCAAATGACCTCTACACAGATATATGAGAAAAGAAAGCAGCTGTGCAAGGTTCTTTGGACAGCTTTATTATTCGAAGGCCTAAACCATCAACTTCAGCTACACCATCAAATTCAGCATCATAAGCAGCTTCAACAACAACTTCAGGTTCAGTAACAGTTTCAGCAACAGCTTTATGGAAAGCTACAGCTTCAGCCAGAGTTGAACCTGATGACTTCGTCATCTGAGTAAAAACTCGCACATCATTGGTTGTCCTTATATTTTAGACTTTACCACCATTGGTGAGTAGAATTTTTGTTTTACATTCATAAATATTATTCAAAACATATACGAACAGTAAATAAGTGTTGCTTTCATATTCAAATGTAGAGAAATGACGATATGTTTTCACATGTACGCACTTACTGTACATACGTTGGCGTTCCCAATTGTCTCGCTTTATTTCTTTACCATTAGTGGTTAGCTACTTCTAGTGTTCCATTTATTAACATTAAATAACATTACTTAAAACATACATACAGGTATTAAATTTTTTTTTTACATTAAGTTCTCTACAGCTACAACCAGGGTCTTATTTTCTTCAGTTTCTTATGTAGAACCATCGTTACTCACGAAAACAATGCCGTCTTGTCTCCTCATGTGTGTTTTAATATTCTACGTATTATTCATGAATTGCATTGTTCATTTCACATATATAAACATTAATTCAATCAAATACTTATTCAGTAATAAACAGTAATGAATCTTTTGTACATATTCTTAAAATAAATGACTGTTTCCTTGATTGTGCATGTATACATTGGCGCTCCACTATCAGTCTCTCAATTATTGTAAATATAAAAGGTCAATCTAAAACTACTCTGTACTGTACTAATGACAATAACCTGAGACGGTTAACATCCGTATGCCAATACCCAACTTTCAGAGGTAACTAAGCATAACAATCAATTAATGCCATACCTGCAAAATTTATTTTTCAATCTACAAATACCTGATACAAATGAAGATTTAAAGATAATTTTCTTTTCACAGTTACATCTGTAACATCGCTGGCAGCATTGTAGCTAGGTTAGACTCGTCACTATAACCACCAGGACACTGGGCCAAGCTGTTGTTTTTTAACTCATATTTTCAGGTAGATATACATAACTCTTCATTTATTTTACTGATATACTGTACATGCACACACCTTCCTACCTACATAATTTTCCTAAGGGCAAACACAAAAAAGGAATGTACATTTTTTTGCACACATATTAGCTGGCTTAGTGGGGGAGTGGGAGGACGGCTGGTGGGGAGAGTTGCTAAGGGATCAACGGAGGTAGCGTCGCCATTACTATGGTGAACAGGGAGTACAGATGTACTACTGTACATGCAAATGGTAAATGGTGACTGTGTTAAAATTTCATTTGGCCTTAATATACTGGTTTGGCAATACTGTACATTAATTTTTTTTAACTAATATATTGGTATTATTTTTATTTATTACATTTACTGGTAGTACTGTATACGTATACAGTAATAAGAAAACTGTGGCTACTGGAGGAAAATACACAAAGTTTTCTCCTAAATACTCCCTGCTAAAATGGGAAGTGCATCTTGTGTGTGTGTATGTATATGTATATATATATATATATATATATATATATATATATATATATATATATATATATATATATATATATATATATATATATATATATATATATATATATATATATATATATATATATATATACACCTCTCTATAGTATATAATGGAGGCTTTACCATACAGTATTTCAAAGCAAACTATTTATTAAGAACACACAACAATATTCTCACCTGATAATAGATATTCATCTCGTTGTCTTGCTGAATAACTTTATGCACATTTTCTTTCAGGTCCAATTTATTCACACTACTGGGGACTTTTTTGGACCCACCTCTCTCACTCCAGTACATCTGTCTGTAACAAATATGTAATCATTTAAATTAGTTTGCAGTCTCGCATAAAATTGGCCAAAATTCAAATAAATTACCAGCAAAAATGTAGGATTGACAATCCCACATTTTTTTTTCCTTTCAGGGTCCAATCCACCTAAGATACTGTATAGGGATTTCATGTCATATTTTCTAGTATTTATGAAAATCAATTTTTTTCTGTTTTTAAGATTCAAGATACAGGGTTAGATCTCTTATGGTGAACAGGTGGAGGATCTAACAGCATTCTCTTATTGTTGAACCTTTCTTCATCAACAAGTGCAGCTCAACAGGCATAACTCAGACATGCTCAGTACAGGAGTGGAAACTGATTCTCCTAACTTAGGAGACAAACACCATACCACTGAGCTATCTACATTTCACCAACAGCCTTGCAAAGTTCATATCTATACTACAATCAGTGTGCAAATAACAGTTGTGCTATTATTTATGTCATACCTGTAGTGTGTAAATACTCTATTTTACATTACCATGATTTTGGTTGGCAAAATAGCACCAGAATTGTCATAAATGGATGCAAGGCCAAAAGACACAAAATTCAAGTGGGATCAAGCCTTAAGATATACTGTATACAGCAGTACTATGCTGCCAGTATTATGGTACCATTGTTTTAAATCATTATTTTTATGATACTGTACACTGATTCTAGATCTACTGTACTACAGTACAGTACTATGTTGCCAGTCTAGTAATACGCCTGCTATAAGCATGAGAAGAAAAAAATACTGTACAGTATAGTCCTGATTTACGCAGTCAATTGAACCCGTGAAGGTCCGCGTAAAACGAGAAACGTGTAAACAAAATAACAGAACATATGGGATTTATTGAAATAGAGACTGGGCCGACCCCCAAACTCCACTTTTTCCGACACAATACGTACGTTGTAGTAAAAATAGTCTTAATTTTACGATGGTATGCACACACACATAATATAGAAGAAAAATTTCAATAAGAGAATAATATACTGTACCAGGTAAAAGAAAAATCAAGGTTTAACACTTACGTTAGTAAAAGAGATGGGTCAGCATACGGGAATGGCGGCTGGTTCCAAGGCAGAGGGCAGATTAGTTGCCCTCCGGTGAATCACTATTACTATTCACAAAGGTTTGCAGGGCCTCCCTGACAAACCCCTCAAAGTCCATATCGTCGCTATCACTGACTTGGGCTGGCTGTGGTTGTGGTGGGTTGCAGGCGAAGAAGTCCGTAATACTACGTTGATGACTAGCATTGATGTTGTCGTGATACATCTGGACATACAGCTCCATAATTTTCGACAGAAGGTTATTAGACACTTCATGCCGATGCTTGACTGTCTTTGTCAAGGATGAGCTTGATTTTCTCCCCCAACTCGATGACTTCCTTCACATTATCATGGCTTGGTCCAGGTTCAAGGTTTTTCTGGGGTGGTGGGGGTCCAGCGGAAGCCATTGTGAGGGGAATAGCGGGCACAAGAGAGAACTGTATACGCGGAGACTGAGAACAATGAGAGTGGCCCGGCTAGGTCAGCGACTTCTTCCCTCTGGTGGCAGGGCACATCATGTTACATTAGACCAATCACAGCTAGCGGCGGAGGGAGGTAAGGATGTGTGACCCAATCACAGTCTGATACGTCATATGACGTCAGCGATAACATAAGAGCGACCTAATGCGCACCCCTCCCTGCGCCGCTTCCCGCGTATGGTCAAGAATGGACCGCGTTAATAAAAAATGGCGCAGCGCGTCTGGACCTCTCGCGCCGCTCACCGCGTAAATGATGAAATAACCGAGTAATTAAAATATTTCATTCTGGCAAGGTGCCGCGTAAATGACCAAATGCTTAAACAAAATCCGCGTGAATCAAGACTATACTGTATATCAAGCCTACCAAACCCAACTATGGGAGCTAGCAGATGCCCATAAATACAATTCCAGATATGAAAATCCTCTGAAAATCAGTGATAAGTACTAAGCCATCCAGACACCAATGTATATTTTAAAGTATGAATGGGGCATGAATAACCTTCACTTTATACATTTTGAACAAAATATGTTCCTATAAAATCCTGAAGCAAATAAATTATTTATCCAAATCACAGTGATAAAAAAGTGTATGTTGTGCTTGATTGTAACCCTCCTATACAGTACAGTAGTGAGACAGGCTGTAAAAGAGTCAACACTAAAAAGTTCTCACATTCTTCTAAAACCATTAATACATGAAAAGGTATTGAAAATAAATACAAATAAATATACAGTATTCTAAAAGTACAGGTGATGAGATTTCTAAGTTTTTTTTTTTTCCTCACAGCTGCCTTGAACATTAAATGTGAAGCTGTCAAAAGAATTTATTATGCTGTAAGATGTATTCAGCTCATCTGCTATATTCAGTTCCCTTCATTGATATTTTTTCAATTGAAAGTCCTTCTATTGTTCTCTCAGAAAACAGTAAAGTACAATATCTATTTGTTCTTTCCTTTTCTGGTTTGGTAAACCCCTTTCCATTCATAGCTTTCTAAAAATAGTTTCTTGCCTTCTATCTTTCACACTATTCGTCAAAGGACTAATCTCTGGCTCTTTACAGACAGCAAAAGTCTTTAAATTAGGGGACCTCATACATACCTATTTATGCTTGGGATTCCAGTAATGCCAACTGCTTAAGTTTTTTTTCTTTTCACTGAAAGCATTTGTTAATGGTCAAGTTGTCAGACTGCCATGCACCCCCCCAGTACAGTATCTGTTTTCAAAAGCATTATACTGTTCTTATTACTACATTCAGTTCATCTTTACTGGAAATTAATTTAGGGACTCCACTGAAAGAAAAAAAAGTGAAAAGTTCAGAGTGAATCCATTTCCCTAACAAAATGTAAATTAACAAAATGGGTTAGCTTGAAGCTTCAGTTAGATCACATTGAATTTCCACATGTTTGGGTGACCATTTTCCTTGACCATGGCATCAATGAATTCTTTAAGCACCTAAACTGTAGGGTACTGTTCAAGGATTTTACAAATTAGTCTATGAATAAAAAAAAGTAAAAAGTTGTTAATCTGAGAAAAACTTCTTCAAGTCATAGTACAGTAATGTACAGGTAGTTCTGCTATAACGCGATAATTGTGTTCTTGTAAAATATCGTGTTATAGAAAATCGCGTAATAGAAATAACAGGGCTTATGGAGAAAATAGGGTTAGGTGCAGATTACTCGAAATCGAAAAAATTTAGTAGTTAGCCTAACACAAAGGATAGCACAGTCTAAATAAATGTTACAGTCATATCTAATAATGAAATCATACAGTAAATTTAACACTTTACCTTGAAAAAATATGAATGTAACTTGATGGGGGAGAAGGGTGATTTTGAGGTTGATAACATCAAGCTTCTCTTCAAGTGTTATATCCTTTCTTTTACGATAATCACCGGGAATTCTATCATCAGAATGCTTTTTGGAGATATTCTTCTTTACCATATTCACAGTTAATACCACAAAATTGGAGAAATAGTAAGCAAAAATCGCGTTATAGCAAACAAGCGATCGCGTTATACAAATATTGTTCCGAATTCATAAATCGCGTTAGAGCAAATTCGCGTTATCAAAACACGCGTTATAGCAGAACTCACTAGGCTAACACTGTACAGTACTCAACAAATTACTGTAGGTAAATCTGAATAACCAGGATGCTGCCCATAAACCACAGGAAAAAATCCTAATACAGTGGGGTATGCTATAACGAATGGATTCTACTACGAATATTCCTATAACGAACGGTTTTACCTATAAAATTGAGAATGCTATATATAACGAACGAAACTCCTACAACGAATTTTTTTTTTTACTAATTTATTTATTTTTATTACAAGTATTAATGATATTCTTTATTTCAGGGGTTTAGATGCATATTTATGCACTTTTTTACAATTTTATATTACATTTTTCAGTGTTAAGTGGTTGTATTTGGGGGCCTGGAACGGATTAATCCTATAACGAACAAATGCTATAACGAACAAGGTTCTAGAACCAATTAGATTCGTTATAGCATACCCCACTGTATTAATTCTGAGAATTATTTGCTAAAGAAAATCAAACTTCAACAATTATACACTGGGTTAATATACAGTACAGTACCTGTACTTTATTATGAATAATGTAAATGCATCATCTTATGAATACTGTAAATAGTTTATCCTTTATTACACAACTATCTAACCAAAAGTTGATAATACAGTAAACGTATTTTTCACACAAGGGCTGCACACAAAAATGAAACAAATGTGGAGATTATATGTGGCTGAAGAAGAGCTTTGTGTTACTGGCTATATCACAGTGTTTGTACAATGCTGAATTATGATTGACTGGAAATAATTTATGTACTCACTGAATTTTGATTGCCCGAGACAGTATCACACACTCACTACGGAGACCCCCAGAATAAATTAACGAGAGGCCCCCAAAATAGGCAATGAAGTAAGAGTACCGATAATTATCTGAGATGTTAATGTACTTAAAAAATTGTATAAGTATCAAGCAGAAAAGTTACTGTCACTTTTTTCAAAAAGGTCATTTGAGCTCAGTAACAAAGCAAATTTTACTTTATTACCCTACCATACCTGATGGAGTGATACTATACCTGATAATTATACAATACAGTATTTCAAAGTCCTGAACTTTACAAAGATGACATCGGCAGTGAAATATGATTTTAGAGAAATGCTGAATAAAATTATAGATAATAAATAATAACCAGGCATTAAACAGTGGGCTTGGGAGAAGGGGTATACCTAAAGTGCCCATATTTCTTGGAGCTAAAAATGGGACATACCAAAAAATATGAAAGCAAAACCCTACAACCCATACACCGATTATAATTAGATTTGACCCAAAACCAAAACAAATATACTGTACATGACAATGGTATTTGCCCTTACCTTCTAATGCTCGTACTTTTCACTGGATAAGATTTGTTTCAACATCTCTGGAGTTGATCTTAGCATATTATAGAATTCCAGACAGGTTTGTCTGAAGTTAACTTTCGTGACTGGTAAGGTTTTGAGGATTGGGAACTTCTAGTTGTGATTTTCCAAATGTCCACAGATTGTTCATTTGAGAGAAAACACTTTCGGTGGATCCATTTGTTTTCCAGGAAGACAAAGAATGAACTGAACCAATTTTAACATGTGCTGGTGGGTAATACCTCTGTCCTTAAAGTGAGTGAACATTTCTACCCAGTGCTGGTCTGTAGGTAACTTAGCTGCATTCCACCCTGACACTTTTTCCTCAGAATATAACTTGTAACACAGCAAAACTCATCAAATAACTCAAGTATCAAAATTTGAATCATAAATTTCTTTTCTACAACAAAATCCATTGTTTTCTCAACATCTTGCCATTTTGATATTTGCTTTAATGAGGCCCACTGAATATGTGCAAAGTCTTGCAAGTGACCTGACCACTGGCCTAAATACTGAACACGTGTCAAAAAAAATCTGTAGCTGCTTTCTTCAATGCAGACGAGTCAATTAATCCATCTTCTTCAAATTTGTTTGCTAGAACCTTCACTGAATGTGGCAAAAAATACATTGTCTTTCTTGGGAAGATATTGAAAGCATAATGTATTTTCTAATGGTAGACCCTGCTGCCATATGGCATCAAAATTTTTTTGACAAAGTCCCAGGTTGCTGATCTGACTTTCTGTCTCATTTACACACAATTGCAGGGTCTCAATTGTTTCTCTTACTTTGACAACACAACATACAAATATTGTTTCTCACTTTTGATTTTTTTTCTCATATTTGTATTTATGGTTCTTTATTATTATCATTATTATTTTATTAAATTTATTTTTAATTTTAAACTTTTTATTATAAATTTGATTATGAATTATTATTATGATTATTAAAATTTTGCACCGATGTGGGTGAGTGACCTGTGGCCGGGTGGGCTAATCCCCGTAAAAAAAAAAAAAACAATATCCGAAGTTTCTCCAGGCTGAGACTGAAAGTCAATGAGTTTTACTTGAACACCTTCATAGGGCTGAAAGAAGCAACTCAAAACATTTCTGAAAGATTTTTGGCACAATCATTTTAGATAGGAAGCTTTAATTCTCTTTGATTGTATGGTAGACCCACAAACCCTCAACAGCAGCCATCTCCAGATCCTTACTGCTAGGGAGCACTTTTAAAAAAGGTAGGGATTGTTTTGCAAGACGAGGCACTGACATCAGCAGCCTTGTGTTTCTGTGAAATCAGATGTTTAGCAATATCATTATCTCCACTATGTACAATGCTAATTTCTGTTACATTTCATACACCATACATTACTTTCTGTCTCCATTTTTTGTAAGAGAGAAGTATTTTGACATTGCAATGCACTTTTTATATTGGTAAAGGCCTTTATAAACAGCAACAAACAGAATATTATATATAGCACATAACATATGACATATATGCACGCAGGCTGGGACAGGACAGTAATCATACAAAGTTGGAGGGCTAAGTTGCCAAACATTACTTTTTGTGCCACTGCCAACCTCTCTCAAAAAGTTTCAAATTTGTGTCAAAATTTATTCTTTCATTACTGAAGAGGGACATTTCGGGACAAATTCTGAAAATTGGGACTGTCAAGCCAAAATCAGGATGTCTGGTCACCTTAGGTATACCTCATGCTAACATTCACCTTTAAATTATGAGAATTTGATATCTGATGATACTCAATTGTTGAAATATTCCCCACAAATGCCAAAATCAATGCAGTAATATGTACAGTTTTGAATCACTGCTGAACAAATCTGAGATCCATCTGAAAATATTAGGCAATCAAATTAAATATCGAGTTACTAAAGAGGTGTTACGGCTACTACTGAATGTACTGTATATCCTAATACTTACTCATCACAATAATCAATAGCTATCCCACGAGGGTCCATGACGTTGGTAGAACGATGCACAAGTTTGGGCTCTAATGCAACATCGTCCACAAGTTCAGTCGGGATTAAGGTCTTGTAAATACCACCATTGGAAGAGTTAGTCCAATACAGTTGCTGTGATGTGGGATCATATGACAGACCTTCCATCACTGTTATACCAGAAGCTGTAGGAAAAATTTACTCAGGTTTACAAAAATGCTTGTTAACAATTCTTTCACGAACAAAAAAACTTTCTAAACACTGAGGAACTTTATAGCTTTTGTACATTTACACAATATTAAGCTAAAGACTAACATTTTAGAAAGTGCCAATACACCATAAAAAAAAGGAGTACAGTATTCTGTATACACCTCCACCTGCATCATGTAGCCTACCAATGAGTTCACCAAAGTAATGTACCAGTGGTGTGAAACACAAGAGGCCTCAAATAAATTTATTACATTAAAATGTTTGTGCTTAATGTCAAAATAGTTATGGTAGCTCACAACGTGGAAAATGGCCATAAAACAATGGTAATTTATTTTCCCTTTGCTCCCCTAACAGATTTGTATTCAAAGTTTTAGATCATGGGAAATCGCAAGAATGTAGGAGACCAACAACAGATAACATGAATTGAATGTGCAGTTGTAAGAAATGTCTTCAGAGCGAAGAACTTCACGAGACCTTGCAGTACAGAGCTACCATTAGGTAACCATGGCTAACATATGCAAGAGTAGAAAATAGTGAAGAAGAGTATGATGATATCAATGAAAATCCCATACCTGTTAAAAAAAAAAAAAAAAGGCAACTAGTAGAGCGTTGTGACGTCAACGGCACCAATTGTGAGCTGTTTCAAGACCAGACTCGATCAACACTGGAGCAGGTTCAGATATATGCAGGAGCCAGTGCATGCCCAGTACTTGCCAACAGTGCGTAACAGAGTTGTGACCAACCACCCAAGCAGCCAACGAGCCGATCAGTGGCAAAGAGGATAAAAGTAACAAGTACCTGTAGTACAATATCTCCTTAACCAGTAACCAACTTTCTCATTCAGTAATTCATTTTCTACAAGAGTTGCAAATGATAGATAGGTTTCATTTCACCAACCTTATTACCTCCTCACTAGAAAATATCTACAATACAGTATTCATGAAGCCCTTCATCAATACTATACAGTATTCCATTACAGAAAATTTAAAGGATTAAAAAAATAAAAATAAAATAAAAATAAATTAAATATTAATATCAAATCACAGTGCAAACTTTCTAATTTGGATTGATTAAGACCTGGCCCCTTCCAAATTTGGAACAAACCAACAAAAATTGTAAACAGTACTGTATAGTGTGACACTGCAAGAGTAAACAAAGATAATAATGAAATTAGTAAACATTGTAGTACCTAAGTGGCACAAGTACTGAAAACTAATAAAAAATTAAAGTTGTACAGTATACACCAAACCTTGGCTAATTTGGTTTTTGTGTGGTTCTGGGTCGATCGAATTAGTCCAAAATACTGTACTGAATTCTCCTAATGAATCAAAATTACCATCCAATTCTGGATTCAGACTACAACTCGGCTCACAATTCAAGAGAAATTAATGATTTTTATTGGACATGTTTTGATATTTAATACTGGAAAGCCTAGCATGACAAAAACCTAACATTATATTAAGAATAATGTACAGCATACAGTACTGTACTACATAGACTTAACATACTTTAAAATTAAAATGTTATTTGTCACTTTGTAGTCAAAGAGTTGCAATATAAGGCTGACCCCACAGTGATGTAATTTTTCTAGAGATAAACTTTATTTTGGTCACTAATGCACAGTACAGTATTAACTTGTATTGAGTGCTGAGGCTCCTGGGAATCTTTGGAAGCCATGGCCAACAAAACACATACTACTGATAAATCATCCAGACACTATACGTATTCTATTATTTTTAAAATATAATTTTATTTAATATTTTGTATAATTTTGTATTAATTTTTATTAATTATTATTATTATATTTTTGCCCCCAGGTCCTGATGTGAGTCATTGACCTGTGCCCTGGTGGGCTAATTCCGTATGTGTGTGGAAGATTTTGTTCACAAAAATGCATCTCCCATAACATAAAGAACGTCACGAGTTATTTTTAATTTTTTTAACTACACTACTGAACAATAATTTAATAAATTTTCCACAATAATTTTTTCACAATTTCAACTACAACAAAATATTTAAAATTCCAGGTATCCCAAAATGTCCAATTGCGAATAATGAATTAGTGAGGACTCGGTGTACTAAATGATTTACCTCCATACTGTACTGTACAGTAGTTTTCTTAATAAAATCTCCTGACAACTACAATAAGGACACTTACCCTTGACTACAGAATGCATGGCCTCCACCTTGTAATTTGACTCAAATGACAGAGAAAAGATTTTGGTATCTCTATGCAAGGCATCAGCCACAAAGAGCCGGTTGGTGTGTGGGTCATGAGCCAGACCTAGAGGGTAGTACAGGTTCTTTGGGAGGGACAACGAAAGAGATTCCCATTCCAGTGGCCATTTTGGAGTAATTTTGTCCACATCACGAATGAGGAGAATATCCTTTTTGTACACAGCTGCCAAATCTGAAAATCAAAGAATGACATTAATTTTTAAGCAAAATACCTGAACAGTATGATAATATATTAATACCATTATCTAAAGTACTGTAGTACTGTACTGTACTTCTAGATTTTTTTTCCAACAAATAAAGAACTGCCAATATTTCATGGCAAATTTCATTATCATCCACATTTAATGGCCATTTTCCATGCTTGCGTGGATTAGCTGAAATTAACTGATGGCAGCTTTCCATGGTCTCTTGTAATATCTCATCAGGTTCTTAACTAATAGAATTTCTATTACCCCCCCCCCCTCCCCTCATGTCAATCTTGGCCTGCCCCGGTTCTCCTCCCTTCCACATTTAGGCCCATACACCTCTTGTCCAAATTGGTCTCTTCCATTATCTCCACATGCCCAAACCATCTCAGCCTGCCTCTACACAGAACCTGGCCAATACTCTCAATACCCACCTGCCCTCTTAGCTCTGAACAGAACCTCCTGTCATTCAATATTACCTAGCACTTCCATTTCACCATTCTCATTCCAGGTTCCTCAAGATTGCTCATGTCAACCTCTTTAACTGCAATGAAACATCACACTTCTCATGAGTCACACACATTCTTCCAAGCCTGTGGAGGGAAGGTCATCTTGCCATCATAAAGACAGCAACTTCCTAAACTTCCTCTCGCCACTTCTGACTCTTGCCAATTAGCAAGCTTTAGCTTCAACTACATTACAGTAAGATATGGGTCCATGACAAAAACCCCACCAGACAAAATCCCCTAGGACAAAAACCCCCAGACAAAACCCCCTAGGACAAAAACTCCACCTCTACTGGAACCTAAACTAACCTAACGTTAAATGAAATTTGTATGAAAAATAGAAACGAGCTATCTAGCTTCCGACTGTATTCAAAGACTACTTAAGAAAAACTAAATTAGTGCACAAGTGAACCAGGTTTTTATACAGTTCGCCTCATGGTACCACACGTCATTAAACAGACCTGAGAGACCAGAGATTGTGAGGTCATGGGTCCCCTGAGGTCTCAAAAAGTGAGGACAGTAATGGTAAGATCTAATATCAAAGTGGATTTGTAAGAAAATTATTGAAAACTTTAAACAAATTCTGTTTTATTTTTTATTATGTGGGGTTTTTGTCCTGTAGGGGTGGGGATTTTGTCCGGTGGGGATTTTGTCCGGTGGGGTTTTTGTAAGTATCCCGTAAGATATTACTCCTCAGCCAAAAAAAAAAAAAAAAAAAAAAAAAAAAAAAAGAAATACACTAGCAGATAACTATTTAACATTTTGCAGGAAACTTACACCTGTACCGTATATTGCAAATCAGGTTTGTTTAATGTAGGGTAAATCAATATTCAAATCAAATGATTTTTTTTAAATCATTGACTTAAATCATTTTGGTTTTGATATGCTATATGTATAAGGAAGTAGTAAAAATAAACAATTGCTTATACCTGTACAGTACAGTAGCGCATAGTAGGCCATACAGTGTTGTTATAAACTAATCAACCTTTATCACAGTAGCCTACATAGTTAAACACAAGAATCCTTCACTTTCATAACATTCACTATTAATTGTTCTCAACAAAAATTACATTACTGTACTGTACTTTGTTTTGTAACTAAAACAAAAAACACAGTTTAAGTAACATCACTTTGCCTACCTTACATGTTTTATTGTACAGTACACACATGTAGGGGTTGTACTGTAGTTAAGTATTAAAGGCACCGATAACTTGTTTTAGGTTTACTTCACAGTTGTAAATAGAAAAACAACCCAAAACCAACTAAATCTCAATACTTTTGGATAAAGCATGTTTAATATTTATAACAATCAAATTCTAATAAACCAACTAAATCTCAATACTTTTGGATAAAGCATGTTTAATATTTATAACAATCAAATTCTAATGTCTCTTAGTCTTTGCTACATCACAAACAACAAATTCTGATTTAATTAAACATCTTTGTGACCATGACCAGTGTCTGCGGTCAAAGACTTAAAACGAAAGACAATTTTTTTTTATTGTACCTAGGCTGCTGCTCAGTTAGCTATGAACAAGTCATCTGCTCTTTGTTTACAACCCGCTTGGTCTAAGTGTACTCTCACGTCCACAAAAAATTAAATTACACCATGCCACTTTCAAGAAAATTACTTTCATTGGTACCACAAATCAAAGTAAGTACTTTCTGTTTAATATGGCAAGAGGTCCTGGGCAGAGCCCCCATCTAGGAAGTTAGGTAAGTTTTCTTTGGATGGTTAGGTCAGGTTCTATTAGGTTCTGTGCATTATCGTAACATTTTTATTAATTATTATCATCCAAACAACATCTGTGGAAAAACTGAACAAAACTGAACAATGCATTCTGGTGTTAGCCATCTGCTCCAGGATTACCTTTAAAATTATGGTAGGTAACAGGGTACTTAAAAGGTGAAAAAAGTATTATTTTACCTTTGGACAACACAGGAAACTTAGGAACTATATCTTTGCAATCAACAGTTTACACAATTCTAAGAAACTTTTTTGCTATTGAAATTTCTCTCGCAAACAACTATATATGCTGGGGGTCCAGGGGGATGGAACCCCCCCCCCCCCCAGTTAGGAGGGTAGGTTAGGTAACTTTTAGGTCATTTGCAAGGGAAACATCATAGAAAAAAAGTGTCTTAGAATTTTCGAAACTATTGATTGCAAAGATAGAATTCCTAAGATTCCCATGTTCGAAAGTAAAGCTTTAGCCTGAAAAGGTTTGTGTATTTGAGAAGTAACAATAGGGCAGCAATAACAGCATTTAATAATCTAAAAGACCTAATGAAAAGGTACATTAATTTCAATTTGAGAAAAAGGATGCAGAAAAAGGCTTTATAGGGCAATGACTGATGTATGGGTCAGAAGCATGGACACTTTCAGTAAAACACCAGAACGTTTGCAGTCCTCTGAAATGCGGTCTGACTAATTACCCAAATGTAGCCGCAATTAAGTCAAATAATGGTCCTACATGAATAAATCGGACTGCCAATCACTTCTCGACTAGTATTTGGTGTCACAAAGTAAAAAAAATTGGAAAACTTACTTTAATCTGAGTTGTGTTGGGTTAGGTTAGGTTAGGTACATGCACTCGATCTCTAATAGCTGGTGCAAATTAAGTTTACCAATTTTGCAACGTGGCGCAAATACCGAGTCGAAGTGATTATGATCAATTATGTATGGGACCATTGTTCATTTCTAAATCTTGACTTCCTTCAAATATTCATCCCCTGATACATGCGATCTAATGTCAGATTAAATTACCGTTTTTCCAATTTTTTTTTGTATTTTAAATACTATTCAGTGATTGGCGGTCGATTTATTCATGTAGGACCATTATGGCTTAATTGCGGCTACATTTGGGTAATTACTGGCTCCTCTCGGTACATGCCGCGATCTATTAACTCAGATTAAATGCGTTTTTAATTTTTTTCTGCTTTGACACAATACCAGTCGAAGTGATGATTGGCGGTCCGATTTATTCATGTAGGATAGTGTTCAGCTTCATTACTGGCTTGTTTGGGTGATTACTCACTCCTCAGTACATGCACTCGATCTATTAACTCAGATTAAATTAAGTTTACCAATTTTTGTGACTTCGTGACACCAAATACCAGTCGAGAAGTGATTGGCAGTCCGATTTATTCATGTAGGACCATTATTTGACTTAATTGCGGCTACATTTGGGTAATTAGTCAGACCCCTGAAATGTGGTTTTATAGGTGAATGGTAAGAATAACCGAAACAAATCAAGCACTAGGAATGGCAAAAACTTAGATAAATACTTGAAATGTACAGAAAAAAGGAATTTCGGTCGTTTAATGGACGATAGAATGGTAGTAACTCTCGACAGGAGCTGCCATGCACAGGCCAACCGGCCTATTGCAGACTCCTTATTTTCTTATGTTCTTATAATCGGGTATGAGGGGATAACACAAATAGTAATGGGCAAAGTTGGGGGTTGGAAGGTCAGGGGGTAGTAGCGACTAGGGTGGATGAATTAAATTAAAATCTGGGTCCCCTGGGTCCCCAGAGATATAAAACCTTGGAGGATTGGTAAAATCAGTGCGAGAAAGTTTAGAGTGGAGGACTGTGGTGGCCAACCCTCAGATGTGAGGACGGTACTCTGAATGATTGATACTTTATGGCAAACTAATAAGTTAAGGGTTTGCATTTCTTATGCAAGTAGACATGTATTTGCCCACAACAATATCCACGAAGTACAATATTCTTTGCTACTCAAACCAGAATATCAATACCAGCTAAACAGTAAAAACATTACAAGATGTACCACCTGGATCTCGTCCAATATTTTCATGTCAATAAACGATGACCTATATTATCTCCACGCACCGAGTACAGTACACTGTGCACATTGGTGGCATGTGTTTTCTTGGTTCTAGTTTTTATTTCATATTTTTTTTTGAACAAGTTATATACTGGAGGGGACTCGTATTCTATCGACTGCCCTTTCAAAAGCGTGCATTATCACGAGTTAGGAAGAACTACCAATTGGAGCTCATTTCAGTTCAACTACAGTACTGGCAAAATTTTATATATTAGAATACAACAAATATAAACACAATTATTGGAGTTAGCTGAAGCATATAATCTGCAAATAAAAGTCAAACATTGTGTACGTGACCGGCGGGAGATCGGGGATGGAGATTTTTATATTTCATCCAACATACTGAAGCAGTTTTCGGTTACCTGGGAGATTGAATACCTTAGACATTACTATCATGCTACTTACTAACCTGTACATGATGATAAAGATACAATAACTAGACAAATAATGTGTGTAAGTATAAAACACATGATAAAGATATGAAGTGAGTGCTCGACACAAACTTCCCATGAGCACTAGTGGTTGGCTGGAGCCGCGGGGCCGCGTGAGCAGCCGCGTGTCGTCTGCTGTGTCTGCTGGTGACTCGTGGCATCCATCCTCATGTTGCAATGAGAAAGGAGACAGTTGTGGCAAGATATTTCTCATACTTTTCTCCTTTGTAAGCACAAATGTACAGACAATATTTTTCAGCGTACAACTACATCGTTATTGAAGGAATTTGAACTTAATTTCTTTAAATACATATAACAAATAATATTGCCTAATACACCGTTGGAGTTATTGCTTGTGAAATAGGTATATTCATAGCATCATCATGCGGTATGCGAGGCTGATAAAACTGTGGATACAACATAGAACCCGAACGTTGGCGGTATTTATAAACACGATTGGTATTAATTACATTTAGCAGCAGCAAGTAGGTTTGATCCCACGCAATACACTACTATAGATACCCTAAGAAATGTAATAGTCTTAAAACCTAGGAATAATTAAAAGTAGTTTTTTACATCCTTACTACTCATTTACTGTTCGTCATTTCTGGGTTAAAAACTGACACCACCCTTTTCAGAAAAAAAAGAGGGCGAACAAGACTGAAGACTGGATCTTGGGTGCGTTACCGAACTCCAAAATTATCTTCAGTCATTCAGAAAAGGCAGAATGCAGCTGAGTGAAAGTGAATCCCGCAGCCTGTCAGTTCAGTAAGGGTAGAGCGGATACAGCATAATATTGTAGACAGTCAATTTTCAGTATACAAGAACATATTTTTACTTTACTTTTATCCTCTTCACCACTGATCGGCTCGTTAGCTGCTTGGGCGATCGGTCACGTCTCTGTCACGTACTGTTGACAAGTACTAGTCATGCTAGTCATGTACTGGCTCTCTTTTACGCAGTTGGCAGGTACTGGGCATGCACCAGCTCCTGAATGTGCCTGAACCTGCTCCAGTGTTGGTCAAGTCTGGTCTTGAAAGAGCTCACACTCGGTGCCGTCACAACACTCTCTGGTAGATTGTTCCAAGAGTTCACAACTCTCACTCCGAAAAAATTTGCCCTCACAGTTTTCTGGACTTGCGGCTTCTTCATGGAGGTAGTGTGGCCGTTGCATTCTATTACCTTCACTTCCCCACTAATTGTAGGAACTCATTCACCCATGAACGAACTCGGGGTTGACGAGGCATGAAACTGTAGTGGATTCCTCCCCTACAAACGCTGTTTGTCGCTGACAAGCCGACCCACGAATTCAGCCTGCGCTGCCTCGTGTCCAAGGTCAGCAACCAGCGCCGCCACACATCACGGAGGTCAACTATTAAGCCACGCCTACCTCCACTATATAAAACCACACCTCGTGATAACCGCTCTACTCCTACTGTATTTCAGTTTCACCACTTTTCCTTCAACTCCTAATAATCTTCTTTCACCTCTTAACTAAAGACTTCGTATCGTAACCGCTCTTTCTACCTACAGCCACCAGCAAGCAACACCTCCTCCTCTACTCCTGCCTGGCGGCCCTCGCTCCAGTCGGCGGCCATGGCGACCCACACCTCGTGACCACTCTTTCTACCTACAGCCACCAGCAAGCAACACCTCCTCCTGCTCCTGCCTGGCGGCTCCCGCCGGCGACCATGGCGACCCACAAGCTGGTCCTCCTCTGAGCACCCTCACCAACCGAACCCACACAGGGTAATAATATACTCGATTTAGTTCTGTCAAACAGAGAAAACCTCATTAGCAGTGTCGAGGTAGGGAACGAACTTGCAAACAGCGATCACAAAGAAATTAGATTCCAGTTAGATTTTCAGGGCAGACGTAAGGAAAATTCCACTAAAGTACCAGATTTCAGAAGGGCGAACTTTGACAGTTTAAAGAGGCAGCTGAGAGAAGGGGTGTCGCGCTTGGCCGTGAACCTGACAGATGACACGGACCTGATAACGAGATCTGAGATTGCCGAGTTCCACGACAATTTAAATTGTGAGTTACTTAATGCACAAAGGCAGAACATACCATACAAAAAACTCAGATCAGACAACAATGACCCTAAATGGATAAATAATTATTTAAAGAACATCATTGGCCAAAGGAAGGCTATAGGTAGAAGGATAAATCGTGGCGAAATTCACCTCCGGGACTATTATAGGGTATTGGCGAGTTGGGTTAAAACCGAGATAAGGAAAGCAAAGAGGAATAATGAGGTAAGGATAGCAAGGGAGGCGAAGACAAACCCCAAAGGATTCTACCAAATGTATCAAACTAAAACACGAGAAAAGATTGGACCAATACGGTAAGACACCGGCGAGCTCACTGATAACGACAGAGAAATAAGCAATAATTTGAATAAATATTTTTCAACAGTTTTCACCGACTCTATTCAGAGATAGTGAAGAAAACAAATTAAGCGAGATAGTAGTGACTAGTAACGATGTTAGTAAGCAAATAGACAAACGAAAGCCTAACAAGCCACCTGGTTCCGATGAGATATTTGCCAGAGTATTAAAGGAATGTAAGGAAGAGCTTAGTATGCCCTTAGCAAAGTTGTTTAACATGTCCTTAAAAACAGGTGTAGTACCAGAATTCTGGAGGATAGCGAATGTAATACCGATTTTCAAGAAGGGGGATAGATCACTATCCTCTAACTACCGCCCAATCAGTCTAACATCAATAGTAGGCAAATTACTGGAAGCAATCATTTCAAACTCTATTCGAAATCACCTGGAGAAGCACCGATTGATCAATGATTCCCAGCATGGCTTCACAAGCGGACGTTCTTGTCTAACTAATCTATTAACATTCTTTTCATCAGTTTTCGAATCGGTGGACGAGGGGCACAATTATGATGTGGTATATCTCGATTTTAGCAAAGCCTTCGACAGAGTCCCCAACGAAAGACTAATTAGAAAGGTAGAAGCTCATGGCATCAAAGGTAACATCCTTAAATGGATTAGGGCGTGGTTACAGGACAGGAAACAGCGAGTGAGCATTAACGGCACTAAGTCCCATTGGAGCAACGTCACAAGTGGAGTTCCCCATGGCTCAGTACTTGGACCATTATTATTTATTAATACATAAACGACATAGATATCGGCATAGACAGCAACATAAGTAAATTTGCTGATGACACTAAAATAGGACGTGTAATTAAATCTGACGAGGACTCAGCAAAACTACAGGAAGATCTAAACAAATTTTTCGAATGGTCTGAAAAATGGCAGATGAAATTCAACGTGGACAAATGTAAAGTACTCAGTATAGGAGATGTAAACAGGGAAACCAGATACCAGATGAACAACGATGCCATAGAGAAATCCGACTGCGAGAGAGATTTAGGAGTAATGATAAGTAGGAACCTTAAGCCAAGTAAACAATGTGTTTTTGCTCGTAACAAGGCTAATAAAGTACTTGGGTTCATACAAAGGAGTGTTAGTTACAAGACTAGCGAGGTCATCCTAAAACTGTATCTTGCTCTTGTGAGACCACACCTGGATTACACAGTTCAGTTCTGGTCACCGTATGACAGAATGGATATAGAATCCTTGGAAAGAATTCAGAGGAGAATGACAAGACTAATCCCGGGCATTAGGAACCTTGAGTATAGAGACAGGCTAAAGCATCTTAATTTGCACTCCCTCGAGAGACGTAGAGCGAGGGGCGACCTGATAGAGGTGTATAAGTGGAAGGCAGGGCTAAACAAAGGGGACATTACAAAGGTACTCAAACTATCCAACCAGGAGCGAACTCGTAACAATGGTTTTAAATTAGACAAATTTAGATTTAGGCGGGAAATAGGTAAACACTGGTTTGGAAACAGAGTAGTGGATGAATGGAACAAGTTACCAAATATCATCATTAACTCGAATACGCTGAATAGCTTCAAACATAGGTTTGATGCTTATATGAGCAATAGGGGTTGGGTGTAAACGGGACTGCCCAGTATGGGCCAATAGGCCCGCTGCAGTTTCCTACATTTTTCTGTTCTTATGTTCTTATGTACTCAACTCTTGTAACCATGCTGCCTTCCCAGCACCAAGCTGCATCGTACATCCAATATAATATGTATACAGAGAGCACATTGTGAGTTTCCTTTCTCCATCCCATCCTAAGTGTGAACCAATATCACGAAACCCCACAAATGGTGACCCCAGAGTGATTTTTTCTATTCTTTTATCTTCTTGGACCTCTTCACAAGTGATCAGCTCGTTAGCCGCTTCGGCGGTCGGTCACGTCTCTGTTCCACACTGTTGGCAGGTACTGGACATGCACCGGCTCCTGAATGTATCTGAACCTGCTACAGTGTTGGTCAAGTCTGGCCTTGAAAGAGCTCACACTCAGTGTCGTCACAACACTCTGGCAGATTGTTCCAAGAGTTCACAACTCTCACTCCGAGAGACGTGACAGATCGCCCAAGAGGCTAACGAGCCGATCAGTGGTGAAGCTGATAAAAGTAAAAGTAATTATATTGCCGATATTACCATCCTGTTCCAGAATATAGGTCCAAATATCCAATGCCTTGAGTAATTGTGTTAAGCAGGAGCGCCCCGGCATAAAACCGTGTTGGCAATCCTTTACAAGGTTGTTTCGTAGTAGAAGTTCCATCATGGCATCTCTGATAATGCTCTCAAGTACTTGACATGCTATGCTTAGTCAGGCTCACCGGTCTATAGTTGGTCGTGGAGTGACGATCGCCCTTCTTGAAGATAGGACTCACAAAAGCCATTTTCCAATCACTGGGGACCTTTTGTTCATCCAGGCATTTACAGAACAGTATCTTCAGGGGCTTGGCAAGGTCGTTGCACAACTCTCTTAGCACTCTAGGATGCACCATGTCAGGGCCGGGACTCTTATGGACCTTTAGCTTTGACAGTTTATTTCTTATAACCTCTTCTGTGAACACAATGTGGGTCAGTGCTGTGTCGAACTGTCTATCCTCAAACACCGAGGAAAAGAAGCTGTTCAATGCCTCAGCTTTGTCCTGATCATAATCTGCATAACTACCATCTTCAAGCTTCAGGTCTAATACTGCTACTGGCGTTCTTAATTTCGACTTTGTATAGCGGTAAAACGCCTTTGGG